TACCGACGGAATCTCCATCGAGGAGAGGCCAACGGGTCACCCGAGTCGATCGGGTGGCTTGGGCGGCTGTCGAGAGACAGGTAAGGAGCAGTGGGATGCCCCATGCAGGTTATGCCGACCCCATCATGAATGATGGGCACAGATCCCACTCGGACATATCCGATAGGAGCTCCCCGGACCCGTCACTCGAGCCATCGAGGTAACTTTACCAACCCCCGTTCTACTTTCCCTGTGCATGAGCATTCATTCATCCATTCTCATGCATGCATTCATACATTCAGTCATATATTCATCCATACATTCATCCCATACATCTAAGCATTGCATATGCAATTATTGCGTCATAATGCTTCGCGTCACGTCACGAAGCGGTAGTCGTCTCATTTGATATGAGCGACGATCGACCAAGGTTCGAAGGCCGGCCCGCAAAGGGCTCGAGGCCACCTCGCGTCAAACAGAGCCAGGGGAGAAAACGCAGATGAGCCCCAGCGGCCTTCGCCCGATCCACTCAGAAGCGGACAGGGTCATCTTGACCTTCTCGTTCGATCCTGACCTCGAGCCATGCCCACAGAATCTCCATCGAGGGGAGGCCAGCGGGCCACCTGAGTCCATCTTTGAAACGGCTCAGGCATCTGCCGAGAGGCGGGTTAAGGAGAAGTGGAGTGCCACATGAGGACTATGTCGACCCTATCACGAAAGACGGATCCGAATTCCACTCGGACATACCCGTTAACAAGCTCACCGAAGCTCGCCACTCGAGCCATCGAGGCAAGTGGCGTCGGCTCAACCCCTTTGGTTGCGGAAATCGTGGATGGGGTGATGCAGGAAATCATGCAACCGACCCCAGCCGACCCCTAGTGGCTCGGGGGCTCGAGCTACTAGGGCCCTACTTAGGAACCCGACCGACCGCACAGGTTGCGGTCGGAACAGACACGGGCGAACACCCCAACCGAAAGAAACACAAGAGTCTGTAGCCCTAGAAAGAGTATGAAGGTGCTCAGCCTCCGACCGACTCCCCAGTCGATCGCAGGCTCGGGGGCTACCCCCACCTCCATCTCGCCCGACCCTTGGGTGCATGCTCCATCTCGCCCGACCCCAAGGCCGCGGGCTCTGTCTTGCCCGACCCTTGGGTTCGTGCTCTGTCTCGTCCAACCCTAAGGCCACGGGCTCTATCTCGTCCGACCCCAAGGCCGCAAGCTCCCTCTCTCCCGACCCTAAGGCCGTGGGCTCCCTCTCGTCTGACCCTTGGATTCGCACTCCATCTCGCCCGACCCCAAGGCCACGGGCTCCATCTTGCCCAACCCCTCAGGTTCGTGCTCCGTCTCGCCTGACCCTCAGGCCACAGGCTCCATCTCGCCCGACCCCTCAGGCTCATGCTTTGTCTCGCCCGATCCCAAGGTCACGGGCTCCATCTCGCCCGACCCCTCGGGTTCGTGCTCCAACTCTTCCAACTCCTTGGGTGCGGGCTCCGTCTCACCCGACCCCAAGGACGCAGGTTCCATCTCGTCCAACGGTGATCCACTACCTTACACCCACCGGGTGCACTTGCGCGCACCCTACGGAAAACGGATTACCAGCGAGTCTTCTCCTCAGGGGCTAGACGCCAATATCCCTCCGGCGCACCACCGCGGCCTTCGCCAGTCCTCCCCACGGAGGCTGGGCACCCGTATCCACTCTGCGCGCCTCCGTGGCTTTTTGGCAGTCCTCCACATGGAGTCTGGGCGCTTAAATCCTACTCGGTTACCCTATGCAGTACAACAAACCGAGGGGGAAAACACTGAAGTTCCAATAACAGCCCGCCTCCACGGCACGATGGGTACATGAATTACAAAGCAAATTCAAGCTTTCATTAAGCTAAAAACACAAGCCCTAGCTTTTACAAATATCACGCGAAACGTGTGTGAACAGCCCCTTCACGACTTCACAGAAGTTCCAAAGGGGCTCGGGGCTCCTATCGGGTTTATAAACTCGGGGTCCCCAATGGACCCGCTTTCCTGCAAAACCCGGCCCAACAGGCGGTGCAGCAACAGCACGCGCATGGGCCGGCCCAGATACATAATGATAGGCCGAGACAACGATCCGGTCCCCGATCGGAAGGCCTGGTCAAGGTATGACCGCATTCTGACTCCGACTCCCTTCTCCGACCGAGGATACGCCGGACCTCTGCTCGTTGCTCTTTCCCGACCGATACGGTCGGGACTGACTGGGAATGACTGATCGGGGACGCCCGCTCGGTGTAGGCCCGAGGAGCAAGCGGAGCAGATAAGGTAATGCGCTCAAGTCAACCGTAATACCGAGGACTATACCCTACCATGTCCTGCGCACCTGCAGGACGGTGCCATCGAGATATGTCAGGCGAACACGGTAGAGCCTGCCAGACGCGTCAGAGTATAAACAGTATTGTGGGCGCCGTCGTTTGTCGTACTAGATGAACATGGTAGAGCCTGCCAGATGTGTCTGAACATAAACAGTATTGTGGGCGCCGATGGCCATCCCGTACCCGATGGTATGAGCAACAAGATTATGCAGTACACGTATACACTCTTTCTCTTTTTCTCTGACTTGTAAGACCATCCCCTTTAACTATGAAAGGGGATGAACTCTCTCCTAAAAGCCCCCCCTCCCGAAGACTGGTCGACTCAACAGTTCAATAGCTCTAGGACTCGACAGCTACACAGTCTACATGCTCTCAACAGCTGATAAGCTCGGACACATAGAGCATACGTTCTAATACTTAGCACATGTTTGAATATCCGTCACTCTCTTCCACTCGGTTCAGAGTCCGACCGGGCCTCTAACGTACCCTTCTCATTCCTTACTCGTTTGTAACCCCACAGCAAACTTCGAGCACCGGGGCTCAGGAATAAAGTCACCGACCGACCTCAAGTGGACGTAGGGTCTGTTGTCTGAACCAGTATAAATCCTGTGTCATTGAGTGTTAGGCTACGTCAGATCATAACGCATGATAAAACTACAAATATTTACTTGTTGGTCATTTTTCGCATCGACACTTGGTGAAATGAAAAATCTTTTGCTGGCACGCATGACGTATCAAACAATTAATGATACAGCGCCTGAACGAGGTTTTTCAACGAACCCAAGTTAATTTGGCTGCTGGAGCGAGGACATCACACCTTCTTCCCAACAATTGGATACGGTATCTCTTGCTTTTGGCTTTTGAGCCTCATATATGAACAAAATCTTTCCAATCTAGGAGTATATATGGTTCGTCTTGTACTGATTGATGAGCTTCCAAAGGTCAAAGCTCAAAAGGCACACAGCTCAGACTTTTCTTGGAGCCCACACTATCCTGGGACGCAAAGCCTACCACCATTAGGCCCCGTTTAGATAAATTTTTTTTTGGATTTTGGCTCAATGTAGCATTTCGTTTGTATTTGATAATTAGTGTCTAATTATGGACTAATTAGGTTCAAAAGTTTCGTCTCGCGATTTCTCACCCAACTGTGCAATTAGTTTTTTTTTTCGTCTACATTTAGTACTCCATGCATGTACCGCAAGATTCGATATGACGGGTACTGCGCAAAATTTTTTAGAATCTAAACAGACCCTTAGTAAAGAAAGCAACCAGATCATCCGCCTTTTGTAGTATTGACGAGGCCCAGCCTCGAACATTAACCTCGATCCCATTGGATCTCATGTAAAGTTCATGGCTTCGGCAACGATTCAGACAAAAAGCACCAGTGTGGTAGTATAAAGTTATGATATCAGCAAGCACAGCAAAGCAAAGTTGACTTGTTTGGTAAAAGGTAATGGGCCGATCGATCCGAGTGCTATCCCAGCTCTTGCATGTAGCAGCAGCACCAACATATCGAGATCGAATCGATCTCACAATTTCATATGCATTGACTAGAGAGACTTTTTTTAAAAAAGCAGTCCTTAACTGCGGTGATGGTTGACTTGCTCCTAGTTGATTCGTAGTACTAGCGACCTCACATAACGAAATGCTCCTAGTAATTTATTGCGACGATGACCGTATCTGGATGCAGCGTCATAATTACCTGTTCGTTCGGGCTTGTTTGGCTTATAAGCCATGGCTGAAAGTATTGTTGGCTGATTTGGTGTAAGAAAAAAATACTATTCGTTGGCTGATAAGCCAAATACGACGAACAGTCTAATAGGATCATCTATAAAGATACTACGATGACGCGATTTCCACGCGGCTCAGTTGATTGTGCACAACGGGCCGGCCGGTCTGCCACGCTACACGTTTCCGTCAGAAACGAACAAATGCACAGCACCTAAACACGTACTCAACCACTCGTGCTTCTTCAGTTATTACGCTAACGATCGTTAGCTTTGAGCTTAGCTTTATCTGCTAGTTAGTGTAAAAAATTACTAACATTTGCACGAACATACGTGAAATATTTGATGACATTATTCAGTCCAGGGAACAAAAAATTCGTCCCTTTTCTTTTTCTCCTAGTCCACTCGCCTTAAGCGCTGGTGATTGTCCAGATTCCTGAAAGCGACATGAGAGCTTTAGCAAAAATCTGGTTCGTATATATATATATATATTGCTTGTCCGGCCAAAAGCGGAAGTTAACTTTTGCAGTTTGGACACACGTCGTGGAACGGCGTCGTGGCGCCACGTGAATTTTCTGTCAAATTTCCTGCAGCATGGTGTCTGTCAAAATGGCCAAAATGACGTGATAAACTGCTCAACTTCCGTGGTTTCAGCCTTTCAGGACTTAAGGTCTTTCACCATCAGCATCAGGCATGGGCGACATTCTTGCATGGATGCGCTTAAATTGTAAGGTTAACTCGTAACACCAGCATCCAACCATGCTATGTTCAGTTCTCCACTCAGTTCAGTTCGCCCCCAGCAGATTAGGCACCAGCAGAACAAAGCAAAGTTTATGAAGAGAGCGACTACCAGCTACCATATAAACTGGTGATGCACATGGAACTATTATCCCTTTACAACCAGGTTCATTCAGCCATATCTTTTTACACCAGCTATTATCAGCTAAAGAGAAATGCTAATCCATATCGAAATCCATATCATCCATGACTGAACTTTTGGCCCTATATCTCCTCTTGAAAACATCTTCCCTGAACAGCTTGGTTTCAGCCATCAGGTCCATGGTCGGTTTCTGCTGTATGGTTTCCTTCTCGCTCTCCAGCATGCTCTTCCGCTTTGTGAGGGCGTTTATCGCAGCAGCCAGCCTGTCCTTCTGCAGCTGCTTCTCCTCCTCCTCGTCCTCTCTCGCCAGCACGTACTGTTCAACAAAATATGAGTTGTGTTGGCATCAACAAGTTACAGCTGCATCAAATTGTGACGGTCGTTCCCTGCAAAATTCACAAGGGAAGCGAAACAGAAATACCATCAGGTTTACCTCAAGGTCATGAATGAGGGAGTCAAGTGACTTGATTTTCCGGTGAGGCCAACGAGGTATCCCATATTGTCGGCATTTCCTCTTCAGTATGCTGACCCCAATCTTGAGAGTCTTTGATGCATCTCGGATTGGAAGATGGAAGTACTGAGCTATATCAACTAAAGTAATGCTATCTATATGCTTCCGGTTGGCTCTTGTATGCTTCTGAACTGGTGGTGCAAGTTCTGCATATACCACACATATTATTAAACATTCAAGTAGCAAAAGAGGAGACATGAGTAATGAATATAAATCAAACAAAATGTGTCATGCGCCCAATATGGACCCCTGATGACGGGCTTAGTGGGCCAAGCGAGGCCCAGCGCAGGGCAATGGCCGGCCTGCGGTGCCTCCTGCGCATGGCCAGGGGAGGGCGCGGCGCGGCCAGGGCGAGCCGCCGCCACCCAGGGAAAATCCCGGCACTCAGGATGGATTAGAATAAAATAGGAAAAATAATAAGAGATTTGCTTAGGAAAAATAGATTAAGATTTTTTTAGAAAAATAAATAGTTGCTTGTAATGAAAGCAGTCCAGATCTATAAGGACTCCTTCCATAAATTTAGATTGCTTGAGAGTCAAGTACGATAGGGACTATAAATATAGGGGCATTGTAACCATTCAAAGCAAGCAAAGAAATAATCTATACCCATATCCCCTTCTCTCTCCTGCGCCGCCGCCCCTTCCTCCTCTCTCTCTCTCTCGCGCCTCACCCCTGCCCTAGCGCCGCCTCCTCCCACCAGCCACACCGCCACCCCAGCAGCCCGGCGCCTCTGCGCCACCACCCCTGCACCCGCCGCCTCCCTGCCGCACGCCACCCCAGCCCTAGCCGCCGCCCCCTAGCTGGCAACCCCGACCAAGCTGGTGACATAATGACAACTCAAACTTCCAAAGGCACTATACTTTTTTATGTTATTAATTTGTTCTTGAAGTTTTATACTTTTATTTACCAGCGGAGGATTAAAAAAGGTAAATTGTAGAAAACCAGCAGTAATATCTGTAAGAATGGGCCTTCAATATAAGTTGGGGGTAAAACAACTTTTTCCTCGAAACAAGAGTAAACAGGTAAGTTCTGTGAATAGCAACAACTAACCATTACATATTAAATTACTATTATACAGATCTCATGGCTCATGAGCCCATAAAAGTACATAATACTAACAAAATGCCACAACTAACCAATTTCAGAGATTGAGAACCAAAAAAAAGTTTGCTGAATTTTAGCATATCTTCATGTTAACCTTTTATTTTGTTATAACACAAGGACATCCTAAAGTAAATTGCCAAGAAGATACAGTTGTATGATATCCAACTACTGAGTTCTCTTTGCACTCTTTCTTAGTCTAAATGAAGAAAAGGCTCCAAACAAGATGTGTGGTTGTGCCAATTTCCAATCATATACCATCTGCGCCAACTTAGTTCCTCATACGAGCAGGGATGGTCAGAACACAGTATTTTTTTAGGGAAACTTACAGGTGGACTGCCTTCTCATTCAAGCTGGGTAAGAATATTTACAGGGTGTCATGGTGAGAGGAGACAAGACACAGAAAACAAAAAAGTAAAGAGAAACAAGGAAAAAACTGAAATCCAATACAACACTATGTTAACCAGCCAAAGCTGCTTATCAAGATTTCTGCTTATATTTATCCATAGGTAGCTACAATAAAGTGACGTTTTGTTGAATTATCAAAATAACTATTTCTATGTTAATTCTTATTTTGAACAACATGGCATGGGGCACTGCCTATTAATTACAAGAAAAGAGTTGTATATCAGAGATTGAGAGCCCCTAATGGCCTAACAAGCAGGTTAGGAGCTTTACATCAAAATATATTCATAACATCAAAGATCTGTGCACAATTCTTGCCGATAAAAAGTCCTGATGGATAAGCTCTTTACATATGTTCCACCTAGTATACATGGCAATCTGAATTGTCCATCCTGTGCCTAGAGAAACTGTGGATTGTGATTATTCAAGTATTGCAAATGCATCCATTGTACTCATTTGCCAATTTGCCATACCTCTTTGGAGCAATGTTTTTAAATCGGCTTATCGTCCCTAATCGGTCTGGTACCGATCAGGACGATTAATCGTCGACCAGGACGATTAATTGACCTCTGATCAGTCTAATCGTCCAGCATATAGCAGGACTATATATCATATATGTATGGTATATATACCATATACTATATATGTATATAGTAGACATCGAGCATCAAGACTATATTTCTAGTCAACAGCTGCACACAGCTGACGGCTGGAGTGGGAGTGAGGACTGAGGAGAGAAAGAGTGGGGGTGAGGTATATAAGAAAAACCCTAATGGGCCTGGCCCAAATAAATATGGCCCAGTAATCTGAAGCAGCCCATCTACCTATTTAGTGCTGATCGGCCAAGAGACCTAATCGGACGATTAATCGCGAGTAATCGACGATTAATCGGACGATCAGGTTTTTGATCGCTCTGATCGAATCGGAGGGCCTAATCGAGTGCTAAGTACCGATAAGGACGATTAATCGCGATTAATCGGACGATCAGAAAGCATTGCTTTGGAGGACGGGTTACCAATTAGGTTCACCCTCACATTTTTATTAATCTATCTAATCTTTCCTTTAATTAACTGTAGTGTTGATGGCCTATCGACATAACAGGAATAATTGTGAATCCTTTGCCATGATACTTCAACATGCCATGCAAACAGTGTACCAATATTAGGAAGACAACAATATGGCCATGCTGTCGGCTGGTTACAGGTCCTCGTACAGGTCGGCCTTTGGGGCATCTTCTCGACCCTGTGGAAGGTTGAGTCTCCTTAATACAATGCCTTGGGAGAGGTCATTTCCCTAGGGGTAGAGTTATTTTACGAGGGCAATGATATATTGGACTTGCAAATTTATATTGCTGACACTCTCTACCAGTCTAGCTCCATGTTTTCCCTGCTGCACACCTAAACCCATGATCAAACACCACTTCAGTCTAATGATAATGCTAAATTCCTCCGAAGGCACTTCTAACTTGCCAAGTCTCCAAATTTTTTTTTCGAGAACGTGCGTAGCACGTATTTCATTAAGAAAAAGTCTCCAATTGTTGTCAGTGTCAACCAACTATCTGCCCATCCCCCAACTATCGAGTTATACAATATAGGGCGTCTTTTTTTGCAATAATTCTAATTATTGGGTTACCAACGATAATACCTTGATTGATCATGTCATTTGGCACAGCTAGTGACTGTTTGACCAATGTCCAAGACTCCAATTCATTTGGAGTACATGCAAGAAGCTCCATCTTTGTTAATTTTACAGGGGAAATTCAAACTTTGCAAGAAATGTGGCCCCAAATAGGGGGAAAGGTATGTGTCAACTGATTGGTGGCATTTAAAAGAAAAATGAAAGCACCACACAAACCGCAGATACTAGCAATCACTGAGTGTGAAAAGTCACAGTTTCAACCTGAACAACTGAATATTAGCATGGAAAATTAGTTAATCCCATTGAATATAAAGGCTTTAGGCAATATATACTTCTATTATTCACTCTCTTTAAGGCTTTAAGCATCCTTCCATTGTCCATGCCCTCACAAACACACCTCAAATGCGGTTTGGAGTTAGACAAGTTTCAGAATTCAATATATGCCAAATAAGATCTTGAACCGATAAAAAGCACGAGAAATTTCTAAAATTGACATCCAATTCGTGAGCCTTTCAAGATTTGGCACCCTGACCCACATGTCAATAACTCAGATTGACCCCACATGTCATTGCGATATGAGTGCCAAACCTTGAAAGGCTCGCGAATTGGGTGTCAATTATCCACTTGAATTCCCTCCCGGGCGCAATAATCTGAGGTGTGGTTGTTTGACTCAGCAAACAAAAAATGAAACTTGTATACAGGTAACACTGGTTACAAGTTGATTTCCAAATTAAGGAAGAGAAAACAATCACCTTTGTCAGATTGAGAATCCCCATCCGAATCAGACTCCGATGCATCAGCCAGACCAGAAGTTTTCTCCTGCTCACCAGAACGGATGGGTTGCTCTTTTGAATTAACGAGCTGTGAGACCTTTTTCTCTTCCTGAAACCGAAACACCTTCAGCAGGTCGTTGTACAGGTTAGGCAGATACTGCAGCTGCGGGTTCCTGGAAGGACAAGATCGAAGGCTTCAGAGTTCAGAATCAATCATCAGTTCTACTTCCCCGAAAACAGAAGCAATTTGTAAACTGAAAAGGCAAATCTTTCGGCCATCAAAGCATTTTGAGAAAGCAACGAACGCAGCATCCGTTTCGAGCTTATGTGAATTGTGATCTGATTGTCCATACACGAGGGGGGAGAGCACGGGCGGCGGCGGGGTGGACGGTGTGACGGCGGCGACGGAGTCGAATGCCACAATGCAACGCCAGGTGTCCACGGTCTGTCCCTCGCGGAACACCGGCCGGGTCCGCCACCCCGCTGGCAGTATCCGCGGCGCGGCGGCGGGCAGGGCGACCTCGAGGCACGGTGGGAAGGAGAGGGAGAGGACGAACTGCCTCTCCACCCACCTCTCCCACCGGACCCACCCGCCGGTTTTCCTCCCGACCACCCTGTACCCGTGCACGCTCCTGTAGGCAGCTGCACGGACAAGAAAAGAAAAGGGACACCCCGGGTCAGAGACACGCTCACACGTCGAGCCCCGGGAGGGAAACGATTGAGAGAGCGTGGCGGAGGCCGGCACCGACCGTGCTCGACGGTGCTCGCGAAGATGGCGAGAGCGGTGAGGGTGGAGACGGCGGTGTCCATGGGAGGAAGGTCTGGATGGTGGGGAAAGGTTGTGGAGATTTGACTGGCTAATTGAGGAATCGCTAATAGCTAGTACTGCTCTGAAAATTGGCTGCCGTGCAATTGCACTGGCTGTGGCTGGCGCCTGGCAGCAATTCAAGAAGCCAGGGGATTTCGATCGCGTTGGGTCCTTTCTCAAAGGGCCGGTGGGGAGAGGACAAAGAGGAAGGCGGGCTTTTGACGTGGAGTATGTAATGCCAGCATAGGGCCTTGTTTACATGCCATCTAAATTCCAAGTTTTTTCACTCTCTCTTCATCACATTAATTTTTAGCCGCTTGTATGTAGTATTAAATGTAGGTAAAAAAAATAACTAATTACATAATTTAGTTGGAAATCACGAGATGAATCTTTTGAGCCTAGTTGATCCACGATTGAACAATATTTGTCAAATAAGACGAAAGTAGTACTATTTATCGGGTTTACTTTTTTTACAAAGTGAACGGGGCCTAGTTGTCATTTGGAAAGCTTGCGATGCAAGCTGCAAATCCTGCTGTGCTGTGCAGTGAACTGGTTATTACTGGTGTGACGTCCCTTCGACAAGCGTGCATCAGAAGCAGCCATAAACTGAAATTTTGGGTTCTTGTGATGTGTTCGTGTATCCTGCAGTGCAGTTCACACTGCCGAGGCACCGAGCAGCCGAGCGCACGACAGAACAATCAGAGGTGCGCGCAACATTCACGCGGCAAGGAGATGTTTTACCACTGAACTACGCTCGCTGCATTGGACTACCCTGGGGCTTTTCTCGGTTTATCACGCCGCGTTCACACACTAGCCGCAATAATGCCATATATGACGGCACAACAAACCCAGAGCCCGAAGCCATAAAAACACATGCACAAATAAAGAGAGAGATTCCTCGTAAATCAGCGCATGTTTAGTTGGATGAATTTAAGAATTTGGGTTATTGTAGTACTTTCGTTTTTATTTGGCAATTAGTGTTCAATCATGGACTAATTAGGTTCAAAACGTTCGTCTCGTAATTTCCAACCAAATTGTGTAATTAGTTTTTTTCGTATACATTTAATGCTTCATGTACGTATCACAAAATTCGATATGATAAATACTGTAACACTTTTTAGGAATTTGGGGTTGGAATTAAACACACGCTCAGGGAGAAATGCCGTAATTACAAGAGTCACTGTTTACTTACTTTGTTATTGTCGAGTCCACTTGCATGCATCCATCGCTGCCAGCCAAAGCATCCCACAACGCAGCCTCTTGATTACTTCCCAAAATCTTATGGGGCGTGCGTGTGTGCGTGCGTGTGGCACAATCGTTTAATTTAATGTCTCTAAGGAGTGTTTGTCTTTCATTAGACACTAAGCTCCTAAAGAAGAACACTAAATTACTCGGTTCCGTCGGACACATCACAGGGAAAGAACCCAAAAATCCACATTTTTGCCATTAGGATCACAAATGAGAGAATAAAGCTTAGAGCATTCTTAACCATTTCTTACATCACTTTCAATACAACATCAGAGTATAATATTTATTATTATAACAGCGGAACATAATCATATTATCAAAGTTATAAACAGTTTAATTGAATAGCGGAATATAAACATGTGATCAGAATTACAGCGAAAATAAATATCTAATCATGACATGATGAAGTATTGATATATAAACTACGACAACAGTTTATAAAACTTTTATTTATAAAAATATTTGGTGAGAGTTATAAATAACAACTGCGATCGCAGCGTAAAGGAATCATCGCTGAACCCACCAGGAGGTATCCACACACAAGGATCAGCTCTAGCATCCATCTATCACCTATAATAGGAGAAATAAAACCCTGAGTACTCAATTGTGCTCAGCAAGACTTACCCGACAAGAGGAAAGAAAAGACTCTAAAGATATGCAATGCTATCTGGCTTGTGGGTTTATTGTATTTGCATGAAGCATTACTAAGCGTGTGTCCTTATATTCAATTTTTATTAATAGCCGCATTGGTTCATTAACTAACCATTCTATGTAAGCACCTGTGCTACTTTTAAGCAGGTGGTAAGCAATCAGATTTTCTTTTTCCATCTCATCACCTTTTATCTTTTTGTTCTTATTACGATGCTTGAGGTAAGACAAGTCGTACCGACTCAGCGACGATTCGCAAACCAATGTGCCCAGCTGGGTGTCCCGAAAATACACGCCCCGCTTGTACGCAAGGCACAAGCAGGACCAACCCATCACCCTCCTATCCTGGGGTCCTAGGTTCCCGTTTAAACTGGGACTCCAAGCCCCCGCCTCTGAGTCCCGGACTCAGTGCGGTGCAAGGACCTCCTCCACTAAAAAAAACTCTGACAGTCAGTCCAGAAAGAGCCGGAATCCACGACAAGAGAGCAACAAGTCTTCCAAGCGCCCATACCCAAGTATGTGCTCGGGACAATAGATCTGTGACTTGCCTCGTGTCCATTGCAACGGCGGGTCCTTAACCGACCAGACAGGGAAAACAGTGTAACCAAGCCATGCCCCGCATCCGCGGCGACACAACCGCTTACACCCACCAATACCCAAACCATATCCCTGCCCGGTCATTATTTTTTCTTTCCACCATTTATATTTTTCTAAGTGATAATAATCCAATAATATATTTCCTACCTCTCGCGAGTGACAGGCAATCACTCGACTTCTATCGGAGTCCTGTAACATAGCAATCTACACGATCATGTCATCCTAGTAAGACTCATAAGATAAAGATATATATGCAAGTGGGTTTCATTCAACTCCTTAAAACTTAATGCATAAATATAATTTAAACTGTAGAAAAGTAGGGGTTATACACCAGGGCTTGCCTGGATAAGATATATATTAAAAAGTTAGTATCTGTATCTTCAGATCATCCACCATCATCTGAATAGAAAGTCAATTGCATCATCTCCTAGAGAGAATACCATTACACCATTTCGGATCCTCAATCATCTTTTAATTGATCCGTTGATCCACCATTGTACCTATATGATATGCATTGATGCAAATGCATAGATGTAAATAACTAACGATAGCCGAAACGCTCGGAAATACGATCACGTCTCACAAGCTAACGAGCCCGCTCTAACGACGTCCATACTTAGGCTACATATCCATGTTGCCAAATAAGGCGTTATTTCTCAACGAATGTTTTAGTTATATAAATCCAAGTTGTTTCTTTATTTCATTCTATCGATTTAATCATTATTCGAAACAGGGCACCATTATTATTCTAGTAAACTAATTATTTTGGAGCTACAAAAATTACAGTGAATACCTAATATTACTAGGAGCCTACTGTAAAAATTTCAGATTCAACACTATTACCAATTTATCGCAATAATTCCTACAAGTTTATATTTTTACAATATTAAGTATCTTAAATTAATTATACAGCTTCTAAGAATATTATCAAGCTATGTGAACAAAATATACTAACAGGTAGATCATGATTTTATGAGACTAACAAAATTGGTTTCACCATTTTTGGACTCCTACATAAATTTTTATTGATTTTACAAATTTATTTCCGAAACTAAATTAGCTAATTGTTTTAGAAAACTGAAAGGCCCGCAGCCACCCAAACGGCCCAGCGGACGCGTGGCCTCAACCGGGGCCCATGACTGGCGAACTGGACTGGCCCTAAGGCGCGCGCGCGGCCCAGGCGGGACACACGGACCGCGGCCCAGACGGGCGCGCGGCCAGCGGCCCAATCAGCCGGCGGCGGTAGTGCCGGCCTAGCGCGCGGAAACGGGCGCAGGCGGCTCAGTGCGAGCAGTCGACGGCCCAGCAAAGGCCGACGGCCCACCAGGCGCGCACGCGACAGTGGCAGGTTAGCCCAGCGCGGGCGAGCCCAGGGCGCAGCCGCGTTTTGCATAAAACCCCCGATTGTTTTTCCAATTGCGAAACCTTATTTACACTATTTATTACTCTCACGGTCTCATCCCCATAACCCCCTATCTTTACTTCTATTTTCAAACCCCGGTCCACGAAGGACTCCATAGCAGAGCATCGGCAGGGGCGGTCCGACGATGGCCAAGACCGACCGGGGAGGGCACGGTGGCGGCGGAAGGGTGGCCGCTAGAGGCGAAGGGCAACCACAGGGTTCGCGCGACTACACAGGACCACGGCGGCCCATGGTGGCATGCAGGGCATGTCAGCTCGCGTGCAGACATGGATGGCGGCAATGGCGCGCGCACTCCGATGAGAAGGCTATGGAAGAGGCTAAATGGGGGGTCAGGGAAGGATCAGTGACTCACCACAAGCCTCGCTGGGGAGTTGGTTAGTGCAGGAATGGCTCGAGGCGGACTAGCCACGTGCGCTGTGAAAAAGGCGACGGCGCACCGAACTGGCACCCGAGCGCCACTCCATCTCCGGCAACGTCTCCCGCCCAACTACGACGAGCATCGACACCGTCAGGTCAAGGGCAGTACAAGAGTGCGAACAATCGAACTAAAGCCGATCATGGAGGCTTACCCCCAAATGTGCTCTGTAACGGCGGCGAGCTGACCAGCGGCGACGGAACTCGAAAATTGGCCATCGTTAAAGCACGGCTGTGGCTAACTACGGGTCGGGCGGTTGGCCAGCTTCGTGACTTAGCTACTAACGCGAATAATTGAACCGAGACGGCCCAAGCGTCGTAAAATAGAACGGCGCGCTAGCAACTGCACGAGGGCACGGCAGGGCACAGTGGGCAGCAGTGCGCGACACAGGACGTGAGCTGACTTGCTGTTGCGTGAGAGCGACAAGGCGGCCGCGCTACGGGACAGCGGAGGTAGGCGGCTACACGACAGGTTGGTAGCTCACACGGTGGGGAAAGAGTCACGTCGGCCGGACGGCGGACGCCGTGACAACGACACTGCCCTGCGCTCGGACACGTCGGTGACGACTCCAACACGACCTCGAGGAAACAAGCGTTGCCTACCCCGGCACGAGGAGCGGCCGGTACTAGCGGTGTTGGCCAGCGGCAGCGGCCATGGCCAGGAGCAGCCAG